TCCCGAGAGTCCGCGCGCTACCAATCGCTCGATCGATTTCCTCCGCTCTCGATCGAAAAGCAGACGTGGCGCATGTTACGCCACGTCAAATTATCGCCGATATTTCATAACGCGTCTTTGAAAGAGGACGTTTTACGAGAAGGAAGGTGCCGCCGGCCGGCTCCACAACCTTTTCCTTTTCACTCCCTGACCGGTCTTCGATCTTTTCTACAAATGAGTGGAGATACGGCGTGAGAAGATAGACAAGGCCCGATTGGATATTTCCCGATCGGTATGCAGCATCGGAAGGAAGCGCAGTCGCCCGTTAAACTCAGCCATTAGAGCAAACGGTGCGTGCGTACGTAACGTGCAAGGTAAATTACACGATGCACCGCGCTCGATTCACCGGCCCACATTCCCTGACGCGCTCGGCCCGAGCGAATTTCGGCGCTCGCCCCGGTCAGCCGGTTCCCAATGATTATCCACTTAAATCGTGAAGTCGCGAGCAATTATGTGGGGGTGCGAGGGTTAATTCGATAATTGCGTTATATTCCGTTCCGCGAGTAATTGCCACCTTTCCGCGAATGCAAATCCCTCCTCCCCCCCGCACCGCCGCCGAAACTTACCATCGCCGTGCCGGCTCAACTACACACGACGATACCCCATTTAACCATTTTACCGTCTCGTCCGTTGAAATCTCGCTGATTGCATGGCAATTAATGAAAAATCTGTCACTAATTTACCTTGCCGTGGAATAATTATATTTTTATTCGCCGATTCTCGATCGGATCTAGGACAGACTTTCGCAAACGGCTGCGACTTTGTCTCTTCATTTCACGTGACTTTATAATATAATGCCATTAAAAAATTGAGACTTTAGGAAAATAAAAAAATTATTTAATGTAATTCGTGATTAAATAAAGAACAAAATTGTGTCTGCTGCATCTGTGTCTATCGAATTCATAAGGATCTTCAGATATTGATTTCACTGCACTTGTTGATTTAATCTTCTTTTCATTCGTATCTTATTTTTCTCACGCGTAATGGTACGTTACAATCCGATTAGCCTACGATTTCGATTACTACTTCTCACGCGTCTGCAAATCAATATCTACGGAATAGGAATTTCGCGCGCGCGTCGAATTGCGGCGAGAGCGTTCGGCGGCGCGCCAGGAAGACGAGAGCGAACGGAAGAGAAGAACGTGGGGCGAGAGAAGCAGAGGAAGACGATGAAGAAGAAGAAGAAGAGAGGAGCGAATCGAATCGAGCGCGTTCGGCTGCAAGCGAAGGTTAAAAGAGGGGAGAAGCACGCGTCCGCCACGCTCCCCGTGCACACACCTGGGGCCAGTTGGCCAGCGAGAGAGGTAGGCCCTTCTACTATTGGGCCCACAGCCCAAAATGTCCAATTATTAACAAATTATGATCGCGAAATTGGGGAGTCTTCCGGAAATACGGAAACGAGAGCTAGGATCGAGACGGATCATCGGAAGAGACGGAGAGAGATCCGCGGCCGTATCGGCTAATATCATCGACTCGGGCTACCCCGAGTGATTTCGCCTTCTCCGAAAGATTCGCCTTCGAGTTATTAAGATCCGTAAATACGTCGAGAAAGACGCTCAAGCGCCTAATTACTAGTAGACACGAGAATACAATAGATATTATAGCTTTTAAAAAAAAAAACAGAAATAATTATAGACAGACGGATGATTTTACTGTTAAGAGATCTCCGTGCGCGCAGGGGTAAAAGGAGCGCCGCTCTCTTTATATAGATCGATCTCCGATAGCGTTTAAGGGCACCCGTACGATATCACGGATATGTCGGAAGAGGCGAAATTAGTGGAGCGAATTTCCTTCGCTCGAAGACCAACCGTTCGTAGTTCCTCCCTCGCGATGGGGATTCGCCGCGTCTTTCCCCGTCGCTCTTTTTTCCACAAAACTGACGGCGAGGGCACCTGCCTCCCCTCGTTGCATTTCGTTACGTAATCGCGTCGCACTTGATTCCCCGCCCAAGTGTACGTTTTCGTCCGCATTCGAACCGAATATATCATCGTCAATTCGTCAAAATGCACCCGTAAAACAAAGACCGTCTCTTCGAGCGATCGCGGAACGGCGCCGGTTACGGTACCGGTAACGCTAAGAGTGGCATCTGGTTTTGCGGTACGCGCGGCCAGCGTATACAGTTAATTCGACCGTTCGAAAAATCCTTTATGGCACGCTAGAATATGATTACACGCATTTCACTCGGACACAAAACAGTCCCGCAGACACGCGGCGCGTTGCGTCTAATCGTCCCGAGCGTGCATCCTCGCGGTAGGTCGGCAGACACAGACGCACACGAACGTCGTTGATTATCCCAGCACACGGAGAGAATTTCTTTTTAAAATTTACCCTGAAAATTTTGTTAATCGTGGGACAACATAGTATTTTGACAAATTTTACTTTTACACTATAATAAATTTGTTGTAGTATATATTAAATAAATAGTGAAAATCATGTAAAATTCGTCGAAATACTATGTTGTTCTACAATTAACATGATTTTCAAAGTAAATTTTAAAATAAAATTCTCTACCTGCATAGACAACCTTTTTTTCGGTCTTCAAATAGTTTTCTTTCTTTTCTATTAATACCGGGAATATATATTTCATGTACTTGGTAATATACATATAATGTATATCGAATATATAAAATCAGTCAGATGTATAAAATATAAAAAAATAAAAAAAGCTTCATCTCGCTAAATTATATCAAATTCATCTCTTTAATTTATACGGCTTAATTTCGCGTAATTAAATTAATACATTACCAGAGCGATTAAAATGACTAGTTTGTAATTTTAAAAAATCACTCAAATTTATAATAATGCATTTTCTGAGGTTTTCCATGATTTCTGTTGTAACATGTAAATGATTAAATTTACTTTTCCCCTTCAATCTTCTTTCAAGATAAAAATAACATACTTAAATATAATAGAAATTAATTATCAGTAGTTCTAATATTAAGCTTTAATTCCAAAAATTCTGGTTTATGATTAAAACAATTACTCAATTATCATTTATAATAATGCATTTTCTGAGACCAAAAATTTTCTATGACTTTTGTTGTAACAATGATTAAATTTACTTTCCGTCTTCGATCCTTTTTTAAGAAAAAAATAACATACTTAAATGTAGTAGAAATTAATTGTCAGTAGTTCTATATTAAGTTTTAATTCAGAAAGTAGACCGAACTCAATTCTACGAGAACTCGATAATTGTCATTGCTATTATGACAATTATATTGCGCTTGTCCATTATCAATGATTGCTTTCGTATAGCAACGTTACTTGTAAGTAATATCAAAGAGCAATAAAAAATCACGTAAAGATCGTCGGCGGTACCGGGTATAACTACAAGGAAGAGAGATCGGCGGTGAGACCAAGAATCCAAACGATAATTGGTACCAACTTGGTCCAACTACACCGACAGGAAACTGAGTAAAGTGAAAAACTTCCAATGACATTAAAGTCGCATTAGCCGGGACTAAGGAGGAAGCGGAACGACTTTCCGGTCCATTTGTTTCCACGTGTGGATTACATGCCAAAAAGACCGACAGTGAAGTTTCACGCGGTCTTCTAATCCCGCTCTGTGAGAAAATCCCGCCGATCTCGCATACTTGTCATCACAAATGACGGGGTTTTGTATCATTGGAAGACAGTGAAACACATCGCTTCGTAATAAAGAAGCGTGTTATAAATTGTACGAACAAGCGTTTAAGATATAAGGACAGTTTTCTTCCTTTTGTTAAAAAATTCGTATTATACAAACAAGTTTTACTTGCAAAAATATTTAATATTAAAAATAAAAAATCACACACACATGTATACACGGAAAGAAAGATTTTGCTGAAAAATTTAAAAATTTTAGTGGATACAGATTTGAAAATAAATCTTATTGGACCACCAAAATAATTTTGTTAGAAAGTCAAAAATAATAAGCATTGTTATAAAATGTTTCGATGTTCTAGCAATCAGTTTGACTTTTCAACAAAATTATTTTGTTATTATTTTGATGGTCCAACAAGAATTATTTTCAAATCTGTATCCAGCAAAATAGTTCTTTCTGTGTATGAACCAAATAAATTCCTGTATTTTAATCTCACATAATCTTATATATCTTATAAAAGAATTAAGAAATTAGAATGAATAAGCAAAATTAGAACTGTTTACATTAGTAACGATAAGAGGGATCTTATGTCATCGGTCAAGAAGCAAGAGAGGGTCCCGCTTGGAGCAAGATTGCCCTCCGATTAGACCCACGTTCTGCGCATCGGTTTGATTAATCGCCGTCCCTCGGCCGGATACATTTTCGCACATGGGGTTTTATGAAGATATTAACGGAGGGCTCGTTTTCGGTAAGCGGGGTCGCGTATACGAGCCGTAAGCGGACCCGCGCTGCAAAAAGGAGCAGCAGGTCGGTGCTGGTTTTGGCGCTGTCTAAGACGCCTGGGCCGAGACCACCGATCGTACGACCGATAACCCGGTTAACCCCACCAGTCTGTTATTATAATATTTGCCGAGCCGAAATATAGTGATTGCTTATTTGCTCGGGCCCAATTACGTTCGAGCGTGCGCGCGCGCCCGGCTAAAGGGGGCCCCGCGCGCTACGTGACGACGCGCGAAGGGGGATAGGTACGAGAGGGAGATGCACTTAGGTCCCGAAACGAGGCCCCGGACCGACCAACCACCCACCCCGTGTATCCTATCTACCTGCCTCGGACTAACGTCGGCGACGCTATAACGATTAGGTTCGCACGATCAGATACAGGCGAGCGTAATGTCTATTATTGCTCGCGGCGAACGCGTTACGTCGAATGCTTCAGCGTTATATCGACGTGATTTTTCCGTGAAAAATCACGCCTTTTCTTTCCTCGTTAACGCACCCTCCGGTCCTAACAGGAAAATGGAACGAATCGTGAAAAACGAAAAAGGGAGAAAAAGTTTAGAATCTTGGAGGGAACCGACACTCTCGCAGGAAAATATTCTTCAGTCTTGTTTTATTTTTATTCAAATGCTGAAATTATATATGCGTGTTTGTATTTCTTTCATCGGTCGGTATTGGGATGAGAGAACAAATGGATTGATTAATGTATGGATTAATAATTGTCGCATAATTTGGGGACAAGCCGGACTAATACCACAGTCGCTGTAAAAATGTTGTATTATAATACACAAAGACAATATCCTCCCCATACCGTCTGCATTCGCATATAAAAGGAAATAATTTGTTGATTCATTTACGGCTTCCACAGCTTCAGCAGACCGTCCTCACTGTAAGAACACAATAAATTTTGATGGGGATGATGCGCCAAACCGATGACGTCCTTCTCGTGTATCTAAAAAGGCCGGGACGCTGTTAATCGGATCAGGGTGAATATCGCGATGAAACGAAGAAGTATATACTCACGTTGAGCGTTCTCTCGAGCTTTCCCGACGACGTGGAGAAACAGTAGAGCACGAGATCCTCACCGACGCAGTAGATAAACTCGCCACGCGGACTCACCACTGTAGTCACGAAGTCACCACCCTCGCGTTTACCGCTGGAGAACGATCTTACGATCTGCCCTTGCATATTCATAATTACCACCGTGTTGGAGCGATTACACACGACGAAGTGCTCCGGGTTTCGTGGAAGGGTATGGATACTGTTCACTGTGAGATCAGCGGCTCCTAACGATTTGTAAGTGCCTATGCACTCGGTGGTCTTCAAGCTCCAAATTTTCACGGTCCCGTCCGACGACGCACTACGAAATAAAGAATAATACTTGTTTATGAAAAAAAAAAAGCAGAAATTATTTATACCAATGCCGTGTTTATAGTAATGCTCGTAATAAATACCTAATTATATTGTGACCGTCCGGGGAAAATACGACTTCATTGACAAACGAGGAGTGACCGCGGAATTCCTTGAGAGTTTTTCCAGACTTAAGGCCGTGTATCCTGAAAAGTTTTTTAACGTAGCTGTTAATAATATTATATTTAATTTTATTATATTCAATTTTACTATATTTAATATCATTATGTTTGAAATTTAATTTTTTTTTATTTTACCTTATAGTAGTATCGAACGAAGTAGACAATATTTGACTGTTGTCTCTGCTAAACTGCAGGCAGGTCACGCCCTTCGAGTGCGCCTTCTCGAACCTTCTCAAGCACTGTCCGCTCTGCACCCTCCACACCTTAATTTTTCCGTCCTGGCCGCCGCCCGCCAGCATCTCGCTGTCACGACTGAACGACATCGACAGGACAGCCTGCTCCATCATCATAAAGTTGTCCTGCGCCTGATACTTCAGGTCCTTCCTAATTTTACCGGTCGTGAAGTTCCACACCTCGATGAAACCGTCCACCGAGCCGGTCACCAGGTACTGGCCGTCGGGCGAGAAACGCGCGCACTCCACGTGCGACTTCTGGCCGAATTTGATCTGCTTCGACAATTGCGTCGGGTACTTCTCGTCCTCCTGATCGCGAACCGCCGCCTTTCCGCGGAACAAGTCTATCGTGGTGCCGGGCGGCAGCAGACCCTGATGCTGCTGCCACTTCAACGCCTGTCCCAGCAGGGCGAGCAGTCTGCTGGACGGCACAACCGACACTTCGCCGGCGAGGGCGGTGGCTATGTACGCTCTTCGTTTCTCCTTCGTGCTTCCATCGGGGTACGCCTCGCGCGGATCGAAGTACGAGCGCGCGAGTAGATTCTCTGCAAAAACAATGTACATACAATATTATAAGCAACGTTTGTACAATTACACTTAATAAAAAATGAAATTTTGATTAAATGTGACATAGAAATGACATATATACCTAAGTGAATGTACCGCTCGGGTTCTTGTTGCTTCATCATGATCATGGGATCAGTCTGTCTTAACAAGGAACGCGCCGCGCCTAATTCTCGCAGCTCAATTAATTCTAGAACAACCTGAAGAACAATAAAATCTATTAGTATTATTTCATAAGAAAATTCAGATTTTTAAAACGATTACAAAATACTGAAGACTATTATATTACTTTTCATATACAATTCTAATTTTTAATGCATCTACCTGTTCGTACAAATCTATGAGTTTCTTGTCGGGTAACTTCAACGACTGTATAGCCTTCAGAACTGTGTCCCAATGGCCATTATTTATATCGGCAACGAAACCGTCCACGCTGTCCACAGTATTCAGCGACACGCCCGTTTCCTCCTGCGTAGAGAAAATACATTAGCAACAAGCAAGCAACAAGAAAACGTGCGATAAAACGTCGAGAGGGAAGTACCTGTAGTGTTTGCAGCGTCTTCACGAGGTTCGCCTCCTTGAGATACTGCTGTATCAATCGGATCACACTGAAAAATGATTAAGTATACATTGCATGATACGCAATTCAGATTCGTTAATAATCTAGTGGTCAAAAACAAATCGTTCCACTAACTCGGCCGACTCTATTTCGATCGACATCTCCAAGTATTTTGTATTCAGACACGTAGAAAACAAACGCCTCGAAGGTTATGACCTAAGCGATCTCCGGTGTCCGACGACGCGGGTGAGCGTGAGTCCGCATCGTTCGCGGACGCGACGTGGAAACGAAAGCGATCGCGCCCGGCTCAATTAAATACCGGGGACGGATATTCCGTACTCCGAGGAAGACAATCCTCGCACGACTCGAAAATCAACCCTTCGGTACACAAGAAAGCAGGCCGCAGAGCGGTGTCTCATCTCATCACTCATGTTCGCCAAGTGCCGGCCGCTCTCGTCAGATAGCGTCTCTCAAATTGTAACCTAACCTCAAAATGTCATCGGGCACTAACACTCTCTGAAGAGATGGATGTAAACTACATAACAACATTCACTTTTCTGCACCGCGGGTATACAATTTGTGGTGCGAGTCCATGCTAACTGCTACATCCATTTTACGAGTTACGAGACTGCGAGCAGTCTGTATGTTCGTAAACAATGGACAACATAACCTCACAAACGCGAATGTCATCGATGACAGAGAGTCATCAAAAAATTTTATTTCTTTACACACCGCTTGATTTTTCTGGCAGAGCAACTAGACATTATAACACAGCCGAAAAATATAGATCCTGGTATGACGACGTGGAAAGGAACAGGAATTTTAAGCTGCTTGGAATAGGCTCAGGAATTGTGGATCACTCGAACCGAGTGGCATCGCTGGGGCATTAGAATATTGAGAGAAAGTCCTCTCCTTTCTTAGAAAATATCTTTTATAATTTATTAACTATTATCAAATGAACGTTTTTTTCTATTTCTGACTTATTATCATGCTTATCGATTTTTTTTTATATTATACTGCATCACAGATGTAGCTCGAGATAGTAAAATATTAGATAATTATCGGATATTATAATAACTCGGTCATTCCAATTTTAGTTTTATCGTTACCGTGATATTGTATTATATCAACTTCCAGTAGAAAATTTACATACTTCAAAGTATTTGGTATAACATCTACATAAATGTCATCTCTCCCCTTCATATAAGCGGTTGTTAGCGCCTGCAATCATAATTTTCCTTGTACATTCGCAACGATTGACTTTGTAAAATATTTATCGTGATTTATAAAGACGATCATATTGCTAATAATTCCTTGAAGTCTTCGTTGTATGGAAAAATTGTATCTACCACGATGGACTGCAAAAAAAAGTTACCAACCATCAATATCTTGTTCCATGTCTTCATAAAAGTCACATTTTGTATTTAAGACATTGTGCATGATAACTTGATAAGTCACAACTTTACATACCAGGTCATTCTCTACTTCCTGAAATATATGTTTCGTTAAGCCGTACTCCTTTTCATACGTTTTGCTCGTGAAAGTCTCTGTGATATCTAGATAAGCTTCCCACATTTTATCCAATCCATCTTTCTTGTTTCTCAAACTGTAACGAACACAATGACAAATGAACCAATAAGGATAACGAACTCTTGCGTTGCTGTACTTACTATGTGATGTCTTCCCGGATGTCGGAAAGCTTCTTCTACAGACTGTTAAGAAGATCCTGCACGTCGTGAATCTCTGCCTCCATCTCGGTCATCATTTCCACACGCAAGTCTGATGTTTGTAGAATTGAGTAATCCTACGGCTCCACTTGTTGGATTTTCTTCTCGCAAGCTGTGGTGCAATCTGTTTTGTCTCATTTTTACGTCCTCCGGTAGGCTGGACGGTCTCAGAGAAAAGACCTCGATTGTTCAATATCTTGTTTATCAAATCTTCAATATTCTTCTCCTGTTTCGCTTTCTTGTCTTTCAGCGTCTCGAAGGAATTCTCTAACATATGTTCCATATTCTTGTTTTAAATTCGTTTATTCTTGTCTTGTTATATGAAATTGTTGTATTATACCAGTCGTTTTATGCTGCAATTTTACTTGATAAAATAGAGAGAAGCAAAGATTTTAGGACACCCTATATAATATTGGAAAGATGTTTACGACGATGAATTTCTGCCCAATAATCGCTACTTAGGACATTTTTGTTTACATTTACGTACACGGTCTACACTCTACCTGGCGGTACGTAACAATATCACGCCACGAGTCACGACCTTAGTTTAGTTGCGAGCAGATATTCGCACAGTTGAGTTCGTGTTACCGCAACGTCTTCATTTGGACTACATATTCTCTCTGGTAAGTAGGGAAAAAACGCGGATTTCTATATTCGAGAGCTTTCGGTTTATTGATTAGTAGAATTTTCCGGAATTCTTTTGCGAGCCACGGACTGAGGTGGATGTCTGTGGCCGAGTATTCCATCAGCACGTTTTGGTATTGCATCATTCGATTAAGTTTTTTGCTTCCGATTAATATTCATTTATCAAGTTTTGGTATTTATTTTTTGGTATTCATTTATCAAGATTTAATAATTACTCATCTAAGTTAGAAAGACTGGCCAAGTGTATGTACCCCTGTACAGGGGACGACCGGGGCCACCCACAGTAAAAAGAAGAGTAGAATTTTCCGAAAACTATCATCTTGCATGTTTAATATTAATTTTTAATACTCTGTATTGTGCGTAGTGTTGGAAAATTTGTTTGGATTATTTATCAAATAATATTACTTTAATAATATTGTGCAAGGGTGATCCTTTGCGCCGTGATCTTCGTCGATATCGCGTTGAGTGTCGAGTGCGTTCATTCAAGTTAATTAAACGTAACAGGACACTCCGTCTCCGATGAGATTCACCAGTTAATAAAATTTGAATTTCAAAGTTTGTCGTCGCGAGTTGGTGGCGAAACAAATTGCGTCGAACGGCAGCGGTTATCGGTGCCGCTGATATTAAAATTTAAATGTCTTACCAGAAAGAAGCATGAGAGCGGCCATCATTTTTCGCAACACCGATAAAAGTTTGACCTCCACGTGACACTAGCGCCAATTGCTTCCACTTTTAAGATGGAACTACGTACATATATGAGGTTCAACGAATTGCTGGGTCACATAGACCGGTGAACTTACCGACGTGTCCGATGGTCAGATATGTGCCCGACAAGTCAGACATGTCGGTAAGTTCACCGGTCTATGTGATCCAGCGATTCATTGAACCTCACTGCACGTAGTTCCATCTTAAAAGTGGAAGCAATTGGCGTTAGTGTACGGGGAGGTCAAAACTTTTACCGATGTTGCGAAAAACGCCGGGATGGCTGCTCTCATGCTTTTCTCTGCAGGTTTTACATTTGATTTTTTTCTTATATCGATTGCAGCACATCTTCGACTATATAAAGCAGCACATATTGTGTAATTCTTGTTGGCTGGTGGCGACATGCAGGATCAGAAGGATAACACTGATACGCCTGCAGGGCAGGCGGTAAGTCGGTAAGAGAAATCACCACTCTATTTTTGCATATGCGACCGAATCGAAAACGATAATTATGATAGCAGCGGATGAAACATGATGCACATTGATAGAAGCACACTGTGCGCTTCAATCTCGATTTGATTGGACTTTAATTAACATTAGTTGCAATCTCGTAAAAAGCAAAATTGTTTTTAAATTAAAACAATACAGTAGAGTCAGTAGAGCAATATCGGGAAATATATATAGATTGATAAATATAAAATTTCTTGTTCTGTATTTCTTGCTTATTGATTTTTATTTTATGATTGGGTCATGACACGAGAACACTAACATGAGATATATTGAATACAATTGAACAGAAAAAGATGTAATGTTTTGCGTTTTAATTTTGACTTGATTTTGCAAAAAAAAAGAATTAAAACATAAATTAGAACATAACAACAATTTTAACGTGCAGTAAAAAAATATAAAAAAAAATGCTGTTTATGTATATAGGTACACATTGATTCTTCAATTATCTATTTTAATTTCAATTTGCACTACGTTTTCTCATTTGATAATGAAAGTGATTAAGTAGATTATACGGAAAATTTTTATTATTTCCGAAATGTGATTTACTTAAAATGTAACCTTGATCGAATCTAATAATTGAGTCATACCGATTGTTTTCAAACAATCAGTTTCGCGTACAAAGAAAAGGGGGAAGTGAGCAGAAGAAAAAGAGTATTTTTTTCTAAAAAAGAGAGTAGTTTTCTTCTTTCTGGAAAAAATGATACATTATTTGACAAGAATCAATAATATAGTAGAAGCATCTTATTTATATAACTTTTAAAAACTGTTTCGTATAACAGAAGTGTGTTTTACGTTATTCTTATAAATTATTTTCAGAAATCAATCTTTAGTCTATTGCATGTGCGTGTGGATATGTAGCGCCAGGATCAGAGTACTCTATTCGTTAGTCTTGTGCTAGGATGATGTCCGGATAATAAGTATTTCAGTTTTGAGGAGTATCGAGACTAAATTCACTTTATTCGGATGTACATGTATAGAATCAGCACGTCTGATCGCGTCGGAGTGTTTCAACCGAATTCTTCCTTTTGTCCATCGCGCGGTCGCTAAACCTCTCTCGTCTCTCTCGCCTTGCTGTTTTCCACGTGTTTGCGTCAACATGTTTTTTAAGTTATCTTGACCTCTTTTTGTGTGGCGAACAGCTGATCCTACCGTGTCAACATCTAATCGTGTGTTTCGCAGATGTTTCGCAGATTTCATAAGTAACGAATATTTTAAAGCGCGGGCTAAATTCGAGGTAGTGGCGATGCAATCGCCACAAATCTTTGTTTAAATAAATGGATAATAGTATGTAATGATTAATTTTTAAAACACAATTAATTGAAAATTAATATAATACTTAGTTAATGTTAATTCTTCTGATCTATAGAATAGATCTTTCCTCGAAGAGTTGCGAACAAGAAATATGCGTATAACGTCGGTTGTCGTTAAGTGTTTCGTCCTTTCTTGTACACTTCTAGTGAAGGAGTCGTGAGCAAGAGTCATTAAAGAGTTTCGCACCATCAAGTTTTGGTCGATTTTTGTTCTCTCTCTATTTTGTTGTTCCGTTTTCGTTTCTTTTCTTCTCCAAAGCTCGCTTACATTAACGAAGTTGCGACGGCAGCAGACATTAACTTGCAAGACTGCTGGCATCTATTAGTTTGATTATTTTCCAGTTAACACTACGATGTTATTCAAGAGATAACGAAGGAGAGTAGAAATGGGGCAGAATAAAACATAGGCAATACCAAAACTAGAAATGTGACAAAGAATTTTTTTACAAATTATTTTAATAATTGTGATTGTAAAAAGAGAGATTTCTTTCTTTGATTGTAAAAACATTAAATTGAAATAAGATATCAATCAGATATTATATTTTGACTTTCTTTTATTAGACATATTAGATTTTAATTTTTTATTAAGTTAAATTTTGATTATGATAAAAACTATTGAAGATCAATTTTAACGTAAGTTTTTGCTCCCGGAAAATTAATCGGAATTTCGTAACTGAAAGAAGCGCTGTATGACCTGCGATATATCCTGTATAGTCATTAATTATCAGTGTCGAGTATCTACTTGTAATTGAGCCGTCTAATATCCGATAATTATCTGATATCCGGATACACGATAACTCTGTCATTATGTATGTCGCAAGATTTTATTTCCCATTAATTAGTCTAGAGCGCCGGCAAATGCTTTTATATACCTGAGGCGGTCGTGCATTTAATCGGTTAATTATTAAAAACGCGTGGACGGTTCTCTTCCTTTCTTCTTTTCCCTCTTTTCCCTCCCTCTCACTCCTTTCCCCTTCCAGACTCTCTCTCTCTCTCTCTTTTTCATGCCACATTAACGAAGTTGTCGTCACCGCAATGAACTCGAGGGCAGATCCACAATATCAGTATCATACATTTGGTTATTTCCTATTTAACACCATTGTGTCGCGGCGGGTAAAGGGTGATAACTGAATCAGCGCCTATCACGCTGGTGAGGGTGTGAGGGTATTGAAGTCGGTGGAGAATTGTTGCAGGGACAGAAGGATCGAATGAAGAGGGGGAAAAACGGGACAATAATGTTTGAGGCACTGTGAAGATCCAATAATTGAATACACTTCGATAATCGCTTATTGTGAACGTCCTCCCCCTTCTCCCCCTCCCCCCCGCGAGTTTGCAGCGGTAAAACAACTTTCGATTATCACGTGATTCAATCGCCTATGGGTGCGTTTCATTTAACGCTCGCAACGCT